CTAACGAACGGAGACGTAACAATATGTAACCTAGATAGCTATACTAATATAGAAAGTTTTAACTCTACAAAAAAAGTATTGAAACAAGAAAGTCAAAACTACAAAAACTAAGTTAAATAAAATTGGCCCATGCTAACATAATTACAGTGATTTGCCAAAATAGGATATTTCATTTTTTATTATTTTGAGTAACTCGGTTTTTGTAGTTTTGATTTTCTAGTTTCAATACTTTTTGCAGCATTAAACTTTCTATATTACTGTAGCTAGCTAGATTACGTATATATCGATCCCTCCTTGTCTTTATAAAATTTAAAATTCATTATTCTTGTATATAAAAGTTCGAGCAATCTTTTGCACACCCATACCAATTTTAGTCATAAATTCGTGAAACCAGTCCTACAAGCCACCGAAACTCCCCCAACTGGAAGTCCATATTCAGATATTTCCAAAATCTGAACTTAAGCTACTGTCTCGAAAGTCAATATCACATTAATAACAATTTCGAAGTAAATCGGTTATACTTAATAGTCCTTATCCTCCACTTCTAGGCCATCCCACACAATGTTTTTGAAAATTATTTCGTTTGTACAACTCTACATACAAAATCTCAAGCTTTGTGTCCTGCATTTAAAAACAAAATAAACATACACACGCAGTTATTATTTATTACTGTTTTTACATACATAGGCCTACTTATAAAGACGTAAAGCAAAACAGAAGTGAAATCAAAACGGCCGTTAAATTCCTTTTTTTTTTGTAAGACGAAACGTGATTTACATCACGCTGAAACAATTTTAATAGCGAATACCCACACTAAGAATTGAAAGCTTGATACCTACATAGTTTTAACGTAGTGTAAATCTGTCTTATAGTTTTTTAACATATTATCACACATGATCGTAAAAATTGTCTATACTTAAAAAAAACTCGCAAATTGTCAACATTGGACCATTAAATCATCAGGTAAACTCACGTTTCATCACGAAATTTAACAAATACACCGCTTAAGTATCACGAGTTATTTTCTGCATATACTGTATTATTTACAGGAAAAATGAAAGCTGGAGTTAAATGGAAGTATTTCTAAGCATCTCTATGGGAAACGCAGTTACAATAAAATGTTTTACTTACATATAAGATCTATTACCTGACATGTGACAAGGTCATCGAGTCTTTGTCTGACATTTTGACCGTTCTTGGGTCGAAGAAGGAGATAGATTTCCTTTAATTCGCTGCAGGAACGAAGTAGCTTCTCAACCAGGGCCTGGCATATGATATAACCTTAGTTAATATCTCTAATATCTTTATCTCATTCTAAACATATCTTATTTCGAACCAACGGGCGTATTTGATGTACAAATTGTCCTGTAATAAATAATATGGCGTCTGCTCTTACGTTCCTTTGACCGTAAGTTGTTTCTCAAATAAAAACTACCTGGTTCTAAAAAATTGTAGTTACAATTTTGATCAACTTACTTGAGGACTTTAAAAAAAGAAAAAAAAGTTTTATCTCAAGGATAGTTATAGATATTTGTAATGTATGTTAAAGTATTAAATTATTCACGTTTTAACTTACTTTTCCAACAAAACCAGTTCCTCCAGTTATGAAAACTGCTCGATCACGAAAGAAATCTCCGATTCTTGAGTCGTTTAAATTTGGAGTCACTAAAGGTCCAGTTTCTTCATCACGCTGCATTGCTTTAGCCATAAGAATTATTGATGATATTCTGGAACAGTGCAAGATACCCAATTGTTAACCACAATAATTTAACTTTCAAGTAAACACTCCACATGTTTACTTTGCAGAAATAAACTATATTCCGTGGCATGTCTATGGGGAGCTTAGACACACCAAATCACAATTCTAGCTCCCCGAATTTTACTTTAAATTTTATTGGTCCCCTCATTTTCCAGTAAATAAATAAATTACTAGATATTACTTAATTTGTGCATTTTCCAATTTTTGATTCTAAACTATTATTGTTAACAACAAATCAAACGTAAATAATAAAAGATATCATCACTGAAGATTACAGTATTATTTGAAACAAATTTTTGGAGGTTATTTCTCCATGGTTAAGAGAATGTCTCTCACACACCCCAAGGGGTTATATCCCCAATAGAAAGACATGCCCCTGACTACACCATGTCCCCATGAATACTGAGGTGTTTATAAATTGGTATTAAAACACTTTTGACTAGGGCTAGTTTCTTCCCCAGAACTTTAACCGTCTCAGAATCATGACTGAAAAGTTAGCTATCATTTCAAGAGACCATGAATAGATTTCTGTAGCGCTATTTAGAATGTTTTTAAAACTCGGTAACTCCACGCACAAAGTAACTTAAAATTTGTTATGGTGTGTATGCCTTTTACAAGCTGACGAAGAATGATTACACTTATATTTGTATCAAATAGCATATATAATAGTGTTCCAGCTACTGTTGTGTTTGTTATATCCCAGCAGGCCTGAAGAGCTCTGGATTGAGCGAAACGCGACGTTGGCAACAGATATGACAGATGCTTCATTTACACAACCTGTGAGTAATTTTATTATAGATTTGGTCTGTAGAATAAATTTTGCTAAACACCCTATGACTTTCTTCCAAAAACATTTATAGAGGAGAAAGATTCTTAACTCATACTAAATTATACAAATATCTGAGCCGTCATTCAAAATGGGCTCGCCTCTCCTCAGTAGTCGGACACAGGGCCAAAGTGATACAAGTTTCTAGCCTTTAAGCATATACAAGCTTCACCTGAGTAAAAGGATTAGTAAATGTTTGTCACCTTTGGATAATTAGTTAAAATCATTGTCATACTACATACAGAGCACCCAAGGTGACCATAAATGTAGGTGGTCAAACCAGGACACTGTAAAGCTTCACGACATGCCAACTCAGTCTAGGCCTAATAGTCTAATATTCAACGTAAATAACTACAAAGTCTGAGAAAATCACATCTCTCACTGATCATGTGACTGGGTTTAATTTATACTGTTCATAAAAATTTAAAATCGAACTTTAAATTAATATTGGTTAAATTTTCTATTTTTCATCTCTAATTACCACAATAACAACCAAAAAGTAAATTTTTGGTTGTCTTTTAAAAACTTAAACATTTAGGCAAATATGGAGTCACCTAGCAAAAAAAAAAAAAAGTAAAGCTAAAACCGGGATACCAGGACAGAGAGGTCCAAACTGAAACGTAAGTCACAAAGAAAACATATGTAGATGAATTTTGAAAATTTTACCATCTGAATATATCTAACTAAAGACAGATTCTAAACTAGTTATGGAATTTTGAAATTCATGCAATAAATACACTCACAACAAAATGGCCGACGTATGTGGCCTGCAGCAATGAATATTGAAGTGTATAATTGCTATGGCTTCAGCTATGTCATGGCCTTCTATAACTGCTACTGAAATGAAAGCAACAGTATCATTTTTAGTCAGTCCCATTAGGTTCATGCATTTTAAACTATTACAATCGGAAAACAACTTGAAATTTCGTTACGTCTTGCGTTAAAAACTATCGATTAAATAATATGTTGTTTGTTAAAAAAATGTTTGTATGAAGTAAAGATCCACGAAAATTTTTAATTTACTTACTTTCTGTTAAAAGTTACAATACATCATTGTTAAAACACCTTTTCTATACTTAATCTTCCATTACTGTATAAATACCTGAAACCTAATTGCAATATTTAGTCACGTAATATATTAATCTTAAATGACGGGTTTTGTATTTAGAGTTTGGTATAAAAAGTAAAACAGTTAGATGCAAGTTATTCGACGATCCATTTATGTGATGGGTGTGTATTAATTAAATAAATAATGACAGTACAAAAACACTATGAAAGTATACTGGAGAGTAATAAGAAATGGATTAAATAATATATCATAGTAATGTCCAAAAAGTTAATGTGCCTGTAACTTGTATAATACTCAACAAAAGCTAATATGTAGATAGATTTTATGTAACAAATTCAAGACGCACGAGCTCAACAAGTATGACAGTTCACCAACTTTCTTCTGTAACAAAACCTTCGAGTAAGTCTGTGGTCAAGGTTGTTCGTGTTGACTTTCGCAAGAAAATAAACTTGTTCTCTCCATCATAGGGACTGGCTTATGCAGCAGAAAAGGGGCTACGTGTACTTGGATTCCACCTAGGGGTAATGACCCAGTTTCTGAAGTGTATAGAGGACAATACAGGGTCAGTATCCTGGTTCATTAATAACCTACATAGATAAATAGACTGGAAACCAAAACCTAGACAGTTCTGTACGCTCCATTTCATTTACGCTTTCCAAGGCTACTGCCAGTACATGAGTCATTCTAAGCATTCAAAATATCGTATGATTCTTACAAGGTTATATGGTAGCAATTTTGACCTGATCTAGATGTTGATCACCTTTTGACATTTATCTCCTGACTATCACTTCCATTTTAATGTCGTTTCCTGTCGACAGTAGCTCCATCTTGGCAATGTTTTCGATATTTTCATCACGTCGACTTTTATGTTCCAATTTCCTCTTTGAATTGATAACTTTTACCTTGGAGCCGAAGTATGTTTACTCTTCACTTGATTTTAGTGGCGTTTGATTAATCCCATGTCTCGCAAGTTTCATTCTCACGTTGTATTGACACGTCTTTGTGTGACAAGTAATCAAAAAATTGTGAAAAAAAATAAGGATGATGTAGGAATGACAATGCCAAAAAGTACAGAAGCAAGGTAGAGATGAATACACAAAACCATACAAAAATCCCTGCGTAGGTAACCAAATCTTTCCAAAATTTTTTTTTATCTACAACTAAATGCTGAATTCCTTTCATTTGCATGAATTCAGGTTTGAATAAAAACACTTAAAAATGAATAATGCTATAGTCTTACAATGGCTAATTCCCATAAGCTTGTAACATTGAGAGGTCTTTAATAGGTCTTTAAATGTTGGTGAAATCGACAGTAACAACTAATCCAATGTGTTATTTTACTGCGAAAATAAAATATATATTTACTTTTAATCTTGAACACAAATACTTAATTTTGAACCTAAAAATAATAATCTCAGCTATTTCTTTTTTGTTTAAGTGATACCTATTTTTGATCGAGGTAGTTTTGGCTCTTTTACCGGATGACCGTTTCTACGAGAATACAAAAATGAACAAGTATAACACAATAACTGTTATGTTTTAATTATTTGCACCAGATGCAACGTTGTTATGTCAAGTTAAAATGCTCCCCCCCCCCACACACACAAATGGGGACGACAACACTCCTCGAAAATGTCTGAACTTAATTATTGGTTGATGTAATCGCTTTGTGTTTTTTTTTCTCATTGCTATACAGACACCAGTGAGTAATTTAAGCCGAAGCAGGACATAGCTTAAGCATTTACTATCATTTTGGAGTAAAGTCTTAACAAAACCTTCATGTAAGTCTCTACCACTAAATTTTAATTATTCCGATTAAGCTGCTGGTTTATTAATTTGTATTAAAATATATTTCAGGTTTCCTTGATATACATGTGAAAATTTAGGTTTGTTTGTAATTAAGCACAAAGCTACACAATGGGCCATCTGTGCTCTGTCCACCACGGGTATCGCAACCCGGATTCTAGCGTTGTAAGTCCGCAGACATACCGCTCTGCCACTAGGAGGCGAAAATTTAGGAATAGTTTGTTAATGTTAGATCAATGCGCAACAAGTCTTCACAGCGCATACGTGTAAATTTGTTAAATAAATATATTTTTGATATTGTTATATGCTATATTTTTATTATAGTAATTTGTTTGTTAGCTGTAGATAGCTGTGGGTTTTGAAGATGACATTAAAGTAGACCTAGAAAATTCTAATTTGATGTCAATTTTTCTAGTGCATTCAAAGCCAGATTATAAAGAGACATTTGTAAAGTTTGCAGTGAGTTTGTTCAAGAAGGTTGTAGAGTGAAGTAGCTAGTGTCTTACTCTTATCTATCGTGGTTACGGTGATCGTAATACTTGCACTTCAGAAACAACATCCATGTACAGTGCTGTAGCTTGTGTTACTAATGTACGAATCATTATCTCAATGTGATAAATACTCTTGTCGTATACGATTAACGAAGAATGTTTTAATAAATAATTACACGCGAATCTGACTGAGGTAAAATGCAGCAAGCTATTTTAATTAATTAACGTTCAAAGCTTAATGATCTTCATCTTCAATTTTCATTTTATATTATATTTTGGTAAACATGATAATAATTTAACATGAGCAATAATCCAATAGATAAAATGATAAAAATAAATAATAATTAATAAATCAAACAATATTTGTGTAAGCGAGGAGTCCCACTTTTCTATGCTTTGTAATAAATACCAGTAAAAATCCAAATTTTTAGCCTAACAGCCACTCACTTTCAGTACATTTAACTAGATAAGCTTTGAATCAGCGTTATACTTATATTGATTTTTATTAAAGTTTCTACAGTGAATAGGTAACAGATAGATTATACTACAGTCATGGTTAAAACAATATGAAATATCAATATACTTTTCTAATTCTTGTAATAATTTATACTAAAGTGCAGAGTTTGATGATCAATATTTTGATTTCCGCTAAAACTCTTCTAGGGATAATTCACTATTCCTTACAAAAGCAATAACCGTAACCATGCAATATTTGGTTTACTTTAGATATCCAAGTACGCCTCTTTTGATCATTCACTAGTTTATGTCGTGACATATTAAGAGACAAATAACCTGGCTTTATAAAATAATGTTAACTGCCTCCTACCACTTTCCTCCAATACAACATAAACTATAACTTAATCTGAATTCGTTCAAAAATTGAATGATCATTGTCATCTATAATCTCAAAATTATACGAGTAATTATGTATAATCGGATTATTAATATTATTAATACCCTAAAGCTTTCTCACTAGATTACAACTTTTCAGATTGTTCTACCAAATGTTCAGTCGTCATATATCGTAATAGGATATAATCAGACAATGTGATGTAGAACATTACTCCCAGATACTCACATATCATTGCATCATCTAATGTTCTAAAAATCACATCTTTTACCACAATCTATTAATTTTTTTATCTTCATACTATTGTTTTATGTGATTTTATGTTATTAGTGTTAATTTAGAAATTTCATAATAAATAGTTCAGTCATTTATGTGATCTTGAAACTAACAAGTCAAACTAGAGTAGAAATGAATTTGGACAGTTATTTTAATATCTATAGAATTACAGCACAAAATGAATTGAAACATGCGTAATTCAGCCCAACTTCTTTTATCCGATTCGTGAATATCATAAACTGGGTAAAAGTATGTGAAACCTCTATTTTAGTGAAGTAATGATTGTTCAAAGAATGCGTAACCTACTATCTGGAATTTTCCCTTTGGATTTTCACCCTTGAAATGCAGCGTAACATATTCAGTAATTCCTATTTAAAAGATCAGTATAAATAAGACACACACATGTGCCACGAACATAAGATAAATAGGCTAATGTAACAAGTTATATTTAAGCTTAATATTTTTACTATACCCATAACAGAGCAATTATGTCAATGTGCAACAAAATTTCTTACCTACAACGAAGAACTCTTTTCCTTTTGTCCCCTGAAATAATAGAACAACTTTTAACAAAGTATGGGCTTAAAGTAAATAAGCTGACAAGGAAAGTCGCGTTGACTCTCGTGGTAAGTGAAAAGGTGGAATGAAACTTGAAAGTCGTTTAGATCACGTGGTTAGTCACTGGACGAATCAGGTGGAGTAACACACTTCCGTTTTCTTTCTTACCTTGGTGATGAAGGTCTTCTACTAGGTACTAAAATCTCAGCAATGGAGTTGA